TATTGGATCAACTCGACTAAGAGCTTGGCCATTCAAAATATAGTTTGTAAAAAACGGCCGTTTTTGCCTAGAGTAGCACATTTATGCATGTTTACTTACATTGATTTTTAGGTTGTTACTTGAGCACCAGCCGTAGAAACCACTAAAATTATTCTGAAGACACAACGCATCATTTGTAAAGCTTATTTTTTTTTAAATTTTCATGTCATCAGCATATATGCGTGCGTTAGCATGGAAACAACATCATTAATTGAAATTATGAATACCAGTGGATCTAAGTCAGGTTGGCTAAGCAAAAATGGTTAAAAGAACAAAGTGATGAAATTGAAAAACTTCAACGTATTCATGATAATTTCAATCTCCATAAAAAGGTTAAAGAAATGTCTGGAATATATAAAAGATCAAGTCCATCCGCACTAACTAATAATGGTCCAATAATTGTTGATAAGGTGGAGAAAAAAGTGATCTGGGAGAAGTATATTGAAAATTTGTTTGCTGATCCAACTAGACCAACCAATAGTTCAGACCGGCCTACAGCAAGGACTGGCTGTTCCATTACAAAACAAGTAATTATAGCCGCCATTCGAGTTTCAAAAAACAACAAAGCGACAGCGTTAGAAGATGTTCCAGCTGAAATAATCAAGTTGATTGATGACGAAAATTTAGTTTTGCTACATAGACTCTTTAACAATATATATAGGTGTCTACCCGGCAGAATGGCTTACCTCGACATTTATTCCGTTGCCAAAGAAAACCAAAGCCAAAACATGCGATGATCATCGCTTAATATGTTTAATGAGTCACACGCTTAAGATCTTCCTCAAGGTGATTTATAACCGTTTGTATCCGAAAGCAGAAAAATATATGGGTCGGGCACAATTCGATTTTAAGCAAGGTATGGATGTTAAGGAGGCTTTTTTGCACCCAGGTACTTGCACAGAATTGCTGCGATGTAAGAAAGGACGTATTTATGTGCTTTTTGGACTACGAAAAAGCTTTTGATAGGGTCCAGCACAAAAAACTTATGAACATATTGAGCATGATTGAAGTGGAAGAAAAAACTCTACGATGCATTGAAAATTTGTACTGGCATCAAAGGGTGAATGTACAAACAGACGATGGCTTAACGAATAGTGTAAATATTAAACGATGATTCTGACAAGGTTGTTTACTGTCACCGTTTCTTTTCAACTTGTATGCAGAGACCATATTTTGTGAAGCATTGGAGTTGGTTAATGTTGGAATCAAAGTAAATGGTGTATATATTAATAACATCTGATACGCTGATGATACCAAACTATTAGCAGATAACATAAACGATCTTCAATATTTGGTGGATATAATAAATCAACACAGCAAAAATTACGGCCTAAAAATGAATGTAAACAAAATTAAATTCATGATAATTAGCCGAGACGGGACACCATATCAAACGGCAATAATTAACATAGATAACATTCCTGTGGAACGCGTTACCAGCTTTATATATCTCGGGTGCTGGTTGACGGAAAAATGGACCTGCGAGCAAGAAATACTGTGCCGAATCGAGATTGCAAGAAGTGCATTTTGCAAGTTCGAAAAGGTTTTATGCTGCAGAGATTTAAATCTAGGATTACGTTTACGCTTCATGAAATGTTACATTTGGTCTATTTTATTATATGGCGTTGAGTCCTGGACGTTGAAGGTCCCGCAAATGAACAAATTGGAGGCTTTCGAAATGTGGCTATATCGACGAATGTTAAAAATTTCGTATGTGGATCATGTTAGGAACATTTAAGTCCTGCAACGCATCAAAACTCAACGAGAACTATTATCAAATGTAAAAAGAGGAAAAACGGCGTATTTTGGACAAATAATACTGATTGTGGATTTGTAGATTTGTACAACGGGGTAACAATGCACCGCGACCACGTGTAAGGATCTATTGTGCGCCCCCATCCTAGTGCGGGGCATGCCCTACAACACACGCTCCAGACCCACCCTCCTGATGAACTCAAGCAACTTTTGAGGACCAGAAGACCGTAACTCCACCGCTGTTAGAGCAAAGCCTCCCAGCACCTCCATCCTCCTACGAGCAAGAGCATCACACTCCCCCAGGAGGTACACTGAGGTCTCTCCATACCCCCACAAAACCTGCAAGCATCCTCATTTTCCAGGCCCAGCCGACTGAGGTGTTCCCTAAGCCTGCAGTGACCCGTCAAAATGCCAGTGAGAACTCTCACCTGGTTCTTGCCCATCCTTATAATTTTCTTAAATCGCTTCTGGTCATAATCTCGCAGGAGCTCTTTGGCTTGCCGCAGCCCCGGAAAACTTCTCCAGCGCTCCGACCGCCTTCTTTCTGATTCCTTCCTTAATTCCCAACGAATAGTATGGCCCAAGAAGAGGTGTATTTGCCCCCTTCCTTGCAAGCGCATCAGCGGCCTCATTTTCTTCCACGCCCACATGGCCCGGCACCCAACACAGTGTGACCCGGTTGCATCTGCCTAACTCATTGAGCTTCTCAAGCCAGCCCCATACTGCCGCGAAGGATACTGAAAACTAGTTCAGCGCTCCGATCGTAGCTCGGCTATCCGACATAATCATTATTTCTTGTCCCCGATACCCCCTTTCTAGACTGAACCGCACGCATATTTCAATGGCGTGCAACTCAGCCCGAAACACACTCGGAAAAGTTCCCATGGATTCAGAGAATTTGGTCCTTGGCCCAAATACCCCCGCACCCGTCCCAATACTGGTCTTTGACCCATCTGCGGACCATCTAATAACGTGTGTTCCACCTGGAGGCCCGAAAAATCACGCTTCCATTCCCTTCTGTTACTCAGCAACGAGGCAAAATTTTTCGCGAAGCTGTACCTCCTTACCATGTCGTCTCTAGGCATCGGCAGCTTTCGCTGCCATCTCCACAACAAGGTGCAAGGGGGTCAGTCCCAAAATCACCTCCATTGCCGCCGTTGGACAAGTCCTCATAGCCCTTCTTGACCATGCTACAGCTCCGTAAGTTAGGAGCGGCACAGCCATCATGGTATACATCCACCACATGATAGACGGGGAGCAGCCCGGCGACCTGCTCGAGATGGCCCTGCAAACCATAAGTGCCCGAATTTTCCGTGTACACAAAGCTTCCTCGTGACTTCGCCAAAGAAGCTTGGAATCAAACACCACTCCTAAGTATTTGACCTCCGATTTTCTCTCTACAGCCGCTCTGCACACGTATATTGTGCGCCGATGCTCCAGCTTCCTTCTCTTAGTGAAAGGCACCAGGGCCGTCTTGTTAGGGTTAAGCCTGAGGACCACAGTATCACACCAGGCCCGGGCTACTCGTAATCCCCTTTGGATTATATCACAAAGAGTTCCGTCAAGCTTACTTCTAGCGATGATGACTATATCATCGGCATAAGCCTGGACGCCAATTTCCTGACGAAGCAGCTCATCAAGGAGTTCATCCACCACCAAACTCCACATTAGTGGGGACAGAACCCCACTCTGTGGGCTTCCCTTGGCCACGCGCATTCTTAGGGTGCTCTGCTCCACAGCAGTCTCTGCTACTCTCATAGCCAACATATTGGACATACATAGAGAGTGCTATCATCCACGTCTCTACGCCTCAGGGTGGCCGCAATCGCCTTATGAGAAGTGTTGTCGAAAGCCCCCTCGATATCCAGGAACGCGCATAGCGCCACCTCTCCCTGCTCTATTGTGCTTTCTAGGGTACTGGCAAGGCGAAACAGAGCGGTCTCTGTCGACCTCCCCGCCCGATACGCATGCTGGCAATCGCTCAGCGGCCTCCTCGCCAACACACCCGTCCGGACATAGTTATCAACCATTTTCTCCATCGTCTTCAATAAGAACGACGCTAATCGGTCTGAATGACTTGGGCACCATGTCCCTTCTTCCCACTTTGAGAATAAAAACAACCCTAGTCACCCGCCTGGACTCGGAAATGTATCCGAGAGCCAAGCTACTCCTAAATATTCTTATTTAGAAAGGCATAATTGGCTCCAGCCCGTGTTGCAGAAGTGCTGGTGAAATCCCATCCACTCCCGAGGCTTGAAGGGCTGGAAAGTGCCAACAGCCCACCTTATCCTTTCCTCCGTAATTATGCGCGCAGCTCTCCGCCAATCCTCAGGACGTGGTGTCCTGCATTCCCACGCCACGGATCCGACATACGGAGTACTGCCAGCGAAATGCGCCTTCAGGAGGAGAAGAGCCCTTTGCTCCTCGTTATCCGTGTAGCCGCTATCCGGCCTCCTTAAAGAAGCAGTCACTGGCACCATGTCTCTAGCCAGGGCCCTGTGCAGCCTCGCAGCCGCCGGCGTCTCCGCTATGCTCCCGCAGAATAATCTAAAGCTTCCGCGCTTAGCCCTGCGGATCTCCTTGATGTAGGCTGTCAAGTTCATCTTGTACTCTTCCCAAGTACCCTCTCGCTTAGCTTTATTGAAAATCCTGCAAACCCCGACCGTCAAGTTTTCCAATCGCGGGGTCCACCAAGGTGCATCTGTGAAATCCCTTGGCACACCAAGCGGGCAGTTTGATTCAAAAGCTTCGATCATAACTTCCCTGAGCTCCTCCACAGCCCTTTCCAACACCAGGGGATGCCTGGCCACAGTTCTAACCGAGGCGCCCGACAATTTTGCCTCCAGGTCCCTTCTGTATCCCTCCCAGTTTGCCCCCCTTGGATTTCTGAAGGAAGATTTCTCCTCCGTTAACCCACCAAGACTAGGATTCTATGATCTGACATAGAAACCTCCCCCGATACCTTCCAGTCGCGTACCCAAAACCAACCCCGTTCTTTCGGGCTGCCCCATTCTGAGCCCGTGTACAGGGATTTTCCCGAACCGGTACCGCAGAATGTGACCGCCCCGCCAGATGGCTTCCGCGGAAGAGTTATCGACCCCTATTCGGAGAACCTTTCCGCCACCGTTCTGGAGTTGCCCCATCAGCTTCCACACCCGGGTGTGTATTCCCCCCTTTTGGGCCTGGAAGATGGCCAGCGTTTTTTCCTAGGCTTGGCCCCCGCTCCTGGGGACGAAGACAGTGATTACACAAGACTTAGGGATGTCATCTCCCTTCCTTGCCATCAATTCTGGTCCGCTCCATGTACCAAGAACTGACACTCGCTTGATCAGCCATTCAGCTGTCTCCTCATCTGCACAATCGACGAGTACCATCCCGGGCCTTAAGTGTATTCCTTCAAATTGGATGATGTTATCCCAGCCCTTGGCTACCTCGTCGATTGTCGCCTTCTCCAGCTGGGTGAGCTCCTGCTGGGTCAGCATTATGGAGGGATATTCCCTCGACAGAACTGCCACCTTCACAATTTTGGCGGCCGTGGTATAGCTAGTGCCCGGTTCCGTTTTCGAGGTGGAAGGTATGAGGTGCATTCCCATATTCCTTCTTTCAGCCGTCTTCCTTATTTTGGCCTGCTCTTCTTGGGGTGTCAAGGATTCAAGTCCACTCTTACCCCCCGGTGCCAGTGGAGGTACGTCTTCAATAGGCCTCTTCGTTTCTTCCGCCAGTTTCCTAGCCGCATCAGGTGATTTTCCCTGCTCCAGGAAGCGCAGGTACCATCTGACAACTGCATCGCTGAGTCCTCGTCTCCTCGGATCATCCAAGCCTCCAGTTTGACCCAGTGATGGCAGATAGGAGGGCTTCTCCCTTCTGGCCCCACGGTGCATCTCGGAAGACTTGCCCCCAACATCGATAGCCTGCGAGGATGCGGAGGGCTTATTCCGACTTTCCTCCATGCCATTCCTCCCTTTTTCGTTATTGCAAGGGGTATCACGGAGGTTAGTCTCTATTTCCCTTGCAACCGTCTCCTTTTTTATTATGTCCGGTTGCTCCCGGACCATGACGGTGTTTTCCCGTTGTATCGATTTTTCTATTTTTTTTGTTTTGTTCCTTCCATTCATGTTTTGGTCCCACGAATAGCTAGGGAAAGGGTAGTCCGCTATGCCAGAGCCCCGCATGACGTAGTAAGGTCAAAAATACTCTCTGAGGTGAGCCGGTATCAGAGAGACTCCGTTCGCGGTAGCCAGTATACCCCCCGGCTACCAACTAGTCCACCAACGGGTCGTGTAACACCATTGGATTGGGCGGGGGGGGGGGGGGACTTATTGAAGGTAAGCTTACGCCGTTACTTCATGCCCAAGAGATTCTCTTGGTTTTCAGGTCTCACTTTCGACCTTGTCGGTATGGTTACACCTGCCAGACACCGCAGAGTCGTGATATCCGGCGACATCGCTCTTAAGATCATTGACTCTACTTCAGCTCCTTCACCATGCAAGGTGGAATCCCATCGAAGGAGATATAATACTGATAGTTCAAGGGAGAATTGAAGGCAACAGAGGTATTGGAAGAAAACAGTATAATATATAATATAATACTGACAGTTCAAGGGAGAATTGAAGGCAACAGAGGTATTGGAAGAAAACAGTTATCATGGTTGAGAAACATCAGGAATGGGACTGGCATTTCCAACATAGGCGACTTAATCCATGTGGCGACGAACCATGAAGAGTACAATAACATCGTTGCAAGAATATAACAACAACAGCAATCGCCAACGACATATGACCGCTAACATCCAGAAGTGGATATGCACATTAGAGAGAGGGTACACCAGAATTAGACGACAGAGGCAAGAAAATTGCTGAACGAAAGAGGACTCTGTAAGTCCTGTCAGATAGATATCACTATATCCAGGCTAAGAAGTTGTTAGCGAATCCTAAGAGCTTCAATTTTAAAATAATAATTTCATGTGGTAGTATGTCAAAGGCTTTGTTAAAGTCTGTATAAATTACTTCCGTCTAATACCCATTTCCCATATTATTTGAGGAAACTGTCGTGGCTTCAACTAGTCACCGTGGACTTCTTTTTCAAGAAGCCATGCTAACGCGCACTAATGAATGGCATACAATGGAAATAAATATTGTCATATACCATCAACTCAAAAACCTTAGGAATTGCTGATAGTTTAGCTATAGAACGATAGTTTGACACGTCATTTTTATTGTTTTTCTTATGGATTAGCCTAATGAAAGCTTCTTTCCAGACGGGAAAATGCCCGAAGAATAAGACTTATTAAAAATTACGGTTAAGATGGGCACGCACTTGCTTAAAATAATCTCAGGAACTCCATCTGGTCCAGGAGAAGGACTTGAATCCAAATTGCAAAGATATTTTTCCACCGCAAAAGAGTTCGTGACAAAATTGGTAAATGTAGTTTTAGGACAGTTATCAATGTGCCGAAAGTTGTCGACATTTAATTGAAAAGATGAAAAAGAGTAAGATTCGGCGAAAAAGTTACGAAAAAATTCGGAAATAATTTGTAAATTATTACTTGTATTCCCGCCGAATTTCAAGAAGGTTGGATAACTATCACTTTTCCTCTTATGGTTTATGAACTTGCAAAAGACTTTGGGATTACGTATTAAGTTATCCGAAGTTTTATAATATAGTAGTCGTAACGTTCTTCTGTTGTTAATTTAAATTAGCAACAAATTTAATCATACGAAAATCGGAAATTATCACAGTCCCTGTCGCCTTTAGTGGAGAGATATTTGCGCCACAGCTTATTCTTTTTGTTGCTAAGTACCCTCAACTCTTGTGAAAATAATGGAGGGCCAGAGCTAGTATCTTTAGTTTTCAACACAGGAATAAACAAATAAAATGCAGCTAAAATGATTGCGTAAAACTTACCCGTCATAGGCTCAATATCAGTAAAGTTAAATACTGAAGAGAAGTCGTAAGTAGAAAAGAAATCATTCAGCAATACGAAATTCGCCCTTTTAAAATCAAAACGATAGAAATGCAATAAGAGAAAGATATCGGAGGATGAAAGATATCAAAGTTAACCAACTGATCCGGGACAGTTATAGGTAAACAATTGTATCAATTGGAAGTAAAGATTAGATCCATTTGCCTCGATCGATGGTTTTGTTATTGACGAAATTTGTTGCAAATTATTTAGATGAAAGGTATCTATAAAGTGCAATTCCAACTCACTAGAACACTCAATTGAAATCAAAATGGTTCCTCATCATGAGTCATCCATCTAATTTTGGGGAGATTAAAATCTCCAAAAACAAAAAAACTCATCCTCAGGGTTAAAAGAATTGCATAAATAATCAATTGGCGAAGAAAATTTCACATATAACTCGTTATTTGAGTTAGGCGGTATATAGCAATTGACTACGAAAAGCGTTTTGGATTTTAGCTCAATTTAAACTGCGATGATTTCAAAGTCATCGGAGTCTTGAATGTCAATAATACTAACTGATTACGAGTTTTTAACGGCGATTAATACCCCACCTCTCTTTGGTATGTGTCCCTGCAAGAGAAGTGCATGTCGGTCCTTTCTAAAAACAGAAAATGAGGAATCGAATAATTCAAGATTATTAATGAAGGGGGACAACCAAGTTTCCGTTAGAACATAAATATCACAGTCAAGAAGAGAAGAGTTGAGCAGGACGGTGTTAGTTTTAGTCCTAAGTCCACGGACGTTTTGATAGTACAAAGAAAGTTGTTTCACAGTCGTTGTCATACTATTTCCAAAACCAGTTAATTGCACCAAGTTATTGTTGTTACGAAAGCTACTTGAACCATCTAGACGATTGGGCTGAGGTCGTCGGAAAAAACTTATTGTTTGCTTTCCTCATCCTCTGCAAATAATCAATCCATTTACTTTTCATATGGTTCCTAAATGTTTGTAAATCTTTATCGACACTAGCGGCAGATATGATTAAAGTGTCATGAAATTTTTTGAATTAGCTATATAAAATAGTATAGTCAGACGGAAGGCCCTCACTTTCAATAAAAACCTGAACACCTAATCTAGTTTTACCATCGTGGTGGACATTCTCCGCCGCGTCGTGAAGATATGCCAAGTACAATTTAACATTCTCATATACAGCCCGATCTTTGAAGCGTGATAGTACATAAGTACTATCGCCATCTTCAACGGACTTTATAGCATAGAAAGCGGATATCATAGGATAGAAATAATAATTTATAACTATTGGATACATTTTTGTGTATACATATAACTAATAACATTTAACCAATAAATCTGCAAAATAAAATTTTTAATTATTAAATATTTTTAATTATTAGCTATAATTATGCAAAAAACTATTTTTAAGATTTTAGGTTAGAAGAGGCTATAAAGGAGCAATTTAATTGTTCATTTCTCTTATTTTATATGCAAACAAAAATAAAAAAATATTAAGCAAACAGACTTACTTCTTCAAAAGTTTTTTTCAAACTAAAAAATAATTTCTATAGAAAGTAAATTCAGGAAAAACATACGAATTGTATCGAAGTTAACCCGATTTAAGTAGTTCGGAAAATTTTTTGAATGCGGTGGCCTGATCCTTACCTGGGAAGTGGTGTAGTAATTATAATAGTAAATACATTTTTCAGAAATTTAAATTTTATTTGATATTTTAACATTTTCAATTTATGAAATGAACGAAAATATGTTTTCATTGAGTACCGATTTCTTTTATTGTGGTGAGAATACCAGTAGCTAAAACGAGGGAACTGCAAATATTGACAGCATTCGATGATATATGTATGTGTAGGAGATCAATAAAATCCATCGGAGTTATCAGAAGGTTCATTTGAGTTCACAAAGCGTTCAACTCCGCCGCAAAGTTCACCCACATTTCATTCAAAATATTTTTATATGTCATTAGTTCTACAAATTTCGGGAACTGCTTTCGATTTTTTTGTTAAACTAAAAATTTATACGATTACTTTTGTTTCGCCATAAAAGAAAATAGGTGTATTACCTGCAATAAATGCTATATAGATATTATTTATTAAAAAAACAGTCTTTTTCATTACAATTACCTTGTTATAGGTATTTAAAAATTATAAATGTTTTACCGCTTTTTCACAATAGCCTCAACATCATAAAAACTATTAACACAAAATTTTGAAATTTTTCACATACAATTCGTCTAGTTTTGACATTTCTGTCGAAATAATTTTTATCATATCATTTAGCAATTCGAGCACAATGACAATAGCTTCTCGTGCCATAATAAACCTATAAATTATCGATTGTCTGTTTTACTTTATATGAATGGTCTATCACTGTTACGATTATTAAAGAATTGACTACATTTACAGTTTTTATAATCACTTAGTTTAGGGTTTGGGATATAAAAAATTTATTTTCAGTGAGGTGGTACACAGCAGAAGATCTACTAAAACAAATTTTCGAATATTACAATTTGTTTTGCTTAGTTACTGATATCTAGAGTTTCTTAAATTATATTTTAATAAATTTAAAAAAAAAATGTATGTTTTCAAAGTAAGTATATAAGAATGTATTTATAAATAATTTTTGAATTTAATGTTAATGGTTCATACATATATAAAAAATTGTTTTTGATTATGTATGTACCTAAAAATTTGTAATCTTATACATATACATTTATACTTGTACGTATGTATTTATACTTGTACACACTGTGCATTCATATATATACATTGTATATACTTAAACATACATATAATTGTATGTATAAGTATATACAAACAAAAGACTTAAGATGGAAACTTCAAATGTAGAAAGATGATGCAATTTGCAGAATCTATGGTGATAATTATTATAATTTTTAATCTCTTTGTCAAATTTTCATATGTTTCTGTAATTAGTAACATAATTAAGTAAGAAATGATTCAAAAAGGCTTTAAATGCTTTAAATAGATGTGGTATTTAAAAACTTAAACAATTTTGGAAGTGCTGCTATTGCATACTTAGGTATGTACGATAACAATGTATGAATGGATGAATCTGCAAAGAGGAATATTTAAAAAAAATTCAATTACATAAATACAAACATATAATTTTATCCTTACAATAAAATGAAAGCAAACATAAAATAAGTTAAAATTATAAAATTTAGCCTTTTAAATATCAATATAATTTACAATATTAAAATTTTCAAAATTAAAATAAATAATCTCATAATTAACTGGATAAAATACAATTCTAATTTATATTCGTTCTAAAAACTAATCTTAAAATTTTGCTTCAATTAATAAATACCCTATTTTTTTTTTTGTGTTGCTAAATTAAGAATCGTTATTAAGCTTGTTAAAACAATAGTCTCATAATGAAACTATTTTACATAAACTCAAAATGTATAAAGTAATCTTATAATGACTTAATCTTAAAAGTAATCGCATTATGACAAATAATAAGTACAAGCATACTAATAAAAAAATTGTGAATAAGTTGAGTATTAAAGTTAATAAAAGCGAATATACAAAATATCAAAAAGTAGAATAAAGACATCAGAATAATAGGGTTTTTTTTAGAAATTTGTTCGTTAAGTACCTTACACCAAAATTCTAAAAATCCCATTGTCTCATTGTCTTAAACTTGAAACTTAGAAAAGGGAAAAATATAAATTAACACGTAGAAAAAATGCACTATTTTTTAACTTACAAAATATACTGATACTTCTCCTAATATATAAATTTGTTCTCAAACAACCTCAAATTAAGTGAAATTAATTCTCAAACGACCATTATTTTTCTTTTTTGACAATTTGTTTTTTTTTTTTATCGTACGTTTCTTGATCATGTTGCAATTGACTCCTGAACATAAGGTTAAAAAAAACATATTGAACATTAGAAAGAACAACACAACTCAGAAATCGTACATGCAATCTCGCTCCTTTGATTACATCATCCATCTGTTCTGCAGCTGTATGAAGAAATTTTCATTAAGTGTATTATTAGTGTAATATACGTAAGCACATTACTTATTATTTAAAGCAACTACACGTTGTATTAGTAATTCAGTTTCATATCTCTATCGACAAAAAATTTGCGCGACTATATGTGACAAAATAATGTGATAATTTAAAAAAATACGTATAGCAGAATAACATTATTGACGCTTTTTGTGATAAATAATAAGACGCTCGTCTAGTAGAGTAACAAATCTTTCACCTCATATTTTTATGTGCGACGACTTCAATAGAATAAAGCTAAATAAGAAACTTATGTTTATTTGCAAACTTTTCGTATAATTTTACTTTTACTATTGTAATTTTTTTGTATATTATCATCCCTATTATGGAGTCGTTCGTAGCTCTGAAATTCGGAAAATTGCGAATATTATATTATCAATTACGAATTATTAAAATTCCGCTCCGCATATTCGTAATGGAGCAATCATAAATTACGTTCGTAGTAATAATTATCCTCAAATGTCCATGAAAGACATAAATATAATAAGACATAAATATTATAACAAGCAATTTAAAGAAAATAGTCGTATTAAATTTTAAAATTTTACATTTTTTTGTTTGATTTTAAGTTACTTTAACACAGCTACCATAAAAGGAAATGAATTCATATTGCCAAAATTTTTTTTCCGCTTTTCACAAATATTCAAAAACTAAAGAAGCTGCAAAACTTTTATCGAAAATATTATTTAAAAACATATTATTTTGTATGAAAGTCATTTGCTCTAATAGCAACAACAAAACATAAATTTACACTAAACAACAAAACATAAATTTACTCCGAAAAATGATGCTGTCATTGGTGATTCATAATCTCTACGAAAGGAACTCAAAAGTGATCATTCAAAAATCTACGTCGAAGTTATGTTCGTAATTCGTAGGATTCTACGAATGGAATTCATAATAGGGCTGTTTATTACGAATATTCGCTTTTATAAAAGTTTTGTACAAAAATAGCATAAAACAACATAAATAAATAAACATTTGACAGTTGAAAGAAAGTACTGCTTTTGATACTCCGAAAAGTTGCCATTGCTGACTCATTATCTCTACGAGAAGAATTTGTGGTTATTTCAAAGTCTACGTTGAAGCTAAATTCGTAATTCGTAAACTCTAAGGCGGGAATTCATGATAGGGCTGATGCAGTTACTCACACATGTCATACATGTACTAATAAATTTTGGAAGCATACTACTGGATAAAAAGATACTAGCGCTAAAAAAAAATTTATATATATCCCATCCTTGTAAATAACAAGTCTGTTACTTCCTGCTTCATTTTTAATAAATGTAATATGTCTATCTGATGTTTTCTCTTGATTTGGTAAACCTAAATTTTTGACTGCTGTTTCTTTCAGCCTTCTTTTCTGCAAAGGTAAATTTATGTTATTACTTTTCAAAGAATAAACTTCTTTACGAAAATAAAATGCATATAAATATTGTAGCACTTTCTGCAAATTTTAATCCTTTACTTCAACATGCATTTATCTTTGTTTTTCGTAATTCTACGTTTTTTTAAAAATCTATACATAAATCACTACAGAATTTTTAGAGAATAGCGAAACCTTATTTACAAATTGGAGGCATCGTTTCAAAATTGTTTTTTTAAATATTTTCTCTTTAGCACTTTTCCAAAAATTTTTTGAAAAAAAAACTCTTATTAGTTTCACTCTGCCCGTCCGTCCGTCCGTGGACACTTTTTTTGTTTACAAAACTTCTACACCCTTTAAGATAGAAAGCTGAAATTGAACATGTACGTAGATCTTTACTAGAAACTTATTTCCGTAGAACAAAATTTTTACCTATCTCCCCCCCCCCCTAAAAGTTATACCACCCCAAAATCCTAAAAATGGCCTTTTTTAACTATTTGTTGCAATGAAACCATAAGCAGTTTTGAAATTTTGCAAACGCATAAAGACAGTAGCTTGCTTCCCCTAGCGTGGTATACTATAGTTAAACTTTAGAAAAACAAAATGGACGTTCAAATTTACCGTTATCTAAAGTCTTTTTTTTCCAAATTTTTGATGTCGTTTTTCTTCTAGACTCCAGCCTGTAGAAGGTTGAAATTTTAGGGGCTTTTAGAGATTAGTAAATACTTCATTTCGTTAGAAGAAATTTTTTTTCCATCTCCACCCTAAAATTTGTAAAATTTGAATTTTTGACACCTTATATTTCCGAAACCGCAAGCTTTTTCAAATTTCTATAAACGCAAAAAGCTAACGGTAAATTCCATGACATTAAAAAATATAATTATTTTTCTTAACTCACACAATTAACCCTTAAAATATTATATTATTTTTGAATTAACCCCATTTTATATTATTTTTGCTTTATTTCAAAAACTGCATATATGCGTCATCCTAAATATATGCAATCCTAGAAATAGTTTTGTATATGAATGAAAATAATTTTAATAGTGTGATAGGTATACATAGACTGCATTTAAAAGCAGAATTTTCACTTGTTGAAGGGAAAAGTACTACAATACAAACCATTGGTTTGACCCAACTTTATTAATTTAATTAACTTGTTTTTTATGGCGCCACAAAAATATTTCTGAACAACTATTCAATATTAAAATTAAAAAAAATTACATTTAATTTTTTTTTTTAAGCAATTTATATTTACTTTCTACTTTTTAATATAATGTAATTTATAATATTCGTTTTTTTCACACTTAAATGTTCGAAATACGTTTTGCCACAGTAAAAATATCAAACCAAATGAAAACAAATGAAGTAACGTACATAAAAGAAAGCGACAGACCATTTTTCAATGAACGTTCCTTGTACCAAGGCTAAGTCATTTTTGGTAATGCAGTTCTAGTGCTAATTGAAGTTGTCGTTATTGTATTTGCCTTACGTATGAAATCTAAAAAATATGGATTATCGAAAAACATTTCTTTAAAATTAAAATTTTTATCCTGCAAAAGGAAGTAGAAATAAAAGTTTATAAATTTTATAAAAAGCTTTAAAAAATTTTTTTTAAATTTAATCGTCATTTTCCATCTTAACTAAAGCTATTGTAGTTAAAGTGTTAGAAATGAGATGTTGCATGCTATTTCTTAGATGTCTTAGTTCCAGTTGTTGTTTTCAAAGAAGCTAATATTGCCGTTTTACATTTTTAAGAGTGTTGATTTAGAGTTTAAGCAGTTCTTATTATATCTACACTGCAATCTAGTACTAAGTGAGAGCTGCATTTTCAGAAGAATCTTTACTTTCATCAAATGTAATTTTTAAATATTCCACAAATATAATTTTTCTACAAAAAATTTTTTCAATTTAAATGAATATACATATGTCAAAATTTTTAAAGCGAAATGCGGTTTTATATTAAACATATAATACATTTATTTTTGCTTATTTCCTATACATTTGTTTTCCTACAATTTTTAAATTTTCCTACAATTTTTTCAGCCGACTTTATATTGAAGAGATTTGTGATGATGTGGAACAAATTAATAAGTTCCGTAATTTAATATCTACGACCGTGAGGAGACCATTTAACATTCAAAAAACTTTTCATTATGTGTACTTGAAAATATTTATATATGTTTTTTTTTCTTTTTCAGACATTCCACCTTGAATTAGCTGTTTGTGTCATAGCCTTTGTAAGTTTCAAAAATAAATAAAAGCATTTTGTTTCTATTTGTATATGTTTTATTTTGAAATACGTTTATTTCAGAAAGTATAAATTTGTTAATTGTTTTTGAATTGCATTGTGTTTACAATGTAAATTATTTGTCTGAAAGTATGAATGAGTTAACGCTTCAAACCTTGTACATGGAACAAGGTTAAGTTCGCATTTGCAGTTCTAACTAAGAACTGCTATTTCAGTTAACAAGTAAAGTTGTAAGGCGGTAAAAAGTTCTGAAATTAGTTTTTAATATGATTACAATTCCAATCGAATTTTCTAATACCAGAGTTTTTGTAGCCACCAGGGTTGTTTTACTAGCCTTAGTGCAGTGTAATTTCAATTAATAAAATCCGCTGCAGTCAGAAATGTGAACACAAACACTAGAACTAAAAAACATAACACCCCCAACGAATTAGAAATACTTAAGGAAGGAGCATTTGTTTCTATTGTTCTTACACTCCCTAAAAAAATATATCTTAAAAAAAACATATTGAAGTCAAAAACTTCAGGTCGGTGTCTTTCTTTGCTCCGAAGATTTTCAAACTGAAATTAACATTAAATGCCAAATGTTGTTTTTTTTTCTTAGAAAACTACGCGCCGTCATGTAAACAGTAAGAAAAGAAGATTTTGTTATTTTATTTATAAAATTAGTGCAGTTTTTAAGTAAAATCTGTATTATGCACATTTTAATTATTAAATATTACTTGTAATCGAGTTGAGTTTAACATTAACAGATAGACATTATATATTAACTTGTCTTTTCAATCTTTCAATCCGCATATATGAAGTCGATTTTCATGTCAATCTAACAATTTTTTCCCCACATCCCTAACTGTATTCTACAAATTTTCGTTTAAAATCACATTAACTCAATTATTTTCAATACCTTTTTTTATTATTTAAAATTTTTCTTTTTACTTTTTTCTTATTATCGTTTGAAAACTTTAAGTTTTAACTTTTAACGTCAACTATTTTATCATCGTCAAATTTTAGATGCCACTTACACATCAGACTAAATCTCCGATAAAATCTGATGAATATTTACACACAATGACGGCAATGTTGTTAATATTTGTAATATATAAACCGCTAAAAGCATTTCATTTATTCCGTAGTGAAAAAAATTGTCGAAATAAAATAAAAAACATCACGTTCAGCCGTGCTGCCACTTTTTTAAAAACCTAACAAACATCAGCGAAACGTTTTTCGTGCTTGCACACCAGGTTCTTCATTGTCCGTATTATGTTGTGCTGGATGGACACATACGATGGTTACTCTATGTCGCATGGTTTCGAAGTTATAAGCATTTATTTATATGCAGGAAAACTCTGGTACCTATATTCACCAGACTATAGCTCTAAAACGAGTATATCTCCATCCCCTCTGCCCACCCATACAATTTTTAGGCTGGAAATTAATTAAAGAATGATTTGCTGCCTTATGCGAAACACCCTGAAACATATGTAGGAAAAGTGTGGTACCTTTATTTTCAACAGGCTATAGCTCGAAAACTATTTATTACATTACATTATTTTAATATAGAAATTATTTTATATCATTTCATTATTAACAGGCTGCAGCTCGAAAACGAGAAATTATTATATATCATTTCAGTATTAACACCAGCAGAAACAAACCTATGCAATTATAAAATTTAAAAAAATACACTAAATTTATATGTAGCTTTAGTAGGTTTAAGTAATGAAAGCGGTTCTTTTATCATCACAATGAATCGTTATAATTTGATATTAATTTAGAAGAGCTTTATTTATTTTTTAAAATTTAAATTTTTAATGTACATATGTATATATGTCTCAATAAATTAGAACAGTATGATTTATAATATGATATGAAATTAAAAAAATTAAAATGTGTATGTACTTTTACATTTTTTATGGAACTAGTACTTTAGACTATTTTAAGAAGGAAATCTTAAAAAAAGGTTGATACTTTAGGTTTAGACAAACTAATAAGTTATATGTGCGAATTCCTTTTTTGTTTAGTAAATTTGTTAACATTAACATTCTTAATAACTTTACTGTTAAAAAACTGATTGCGAAATCCGAACATAAGTGTATTACAAATATTATATGATGTAGATTGTAGATATTCAATTACACTGCATAACAAAATCAACATAAGAATCCTTTTAAACATTTAAATTAATTTATTTAAATCCTTTTTAATAACTCCATCGGTTATAAAAACAATTACGAACGTATTTAATTTTATTATAATTATTATTAATAAATTTATAATTAATTTAATTTCAGATAAGCGCTGCTTGTGTCATGAGTGCGAGGATTCAAAAAGATACACGTGAGTAAATTTTATTTTTTTCTGTCAATACGTGTGTTTATATAAATCTCTTTTGACTCTTGTGGAACAAATCTCCTTTGAATCTTGTGGTATACAATATTTCTGTATTGCATTTCTTGTCCGATAGCGTCTGACTTTTTCGGTGTCTAATTTAAGAAGAAGTCATAGTTGCGCTATTAATTCTGATCAGTGATCAGTATTACGGAAAATTTCCGGATTATAGGAACTTTTGCATTGTAGGCGGTATCTTGCAATGCTAGGTAAACCGTTGCTTCTTTTGCAGTGATATATTTTGTTTATTGCAAACTTAACTTTTTTTTTCGTATCAGTATCAATTCTTTTGATTAGGTGTTTTTATATTAAAAGTTCTGCATTTACAAGATAGTAGAATTAAAACCCATATATTTGCAAAATTTAAAAAAATAAAACTAATGATAAGGTTTTATTCCTTTTTTGAAAAATACACATTTTGCTATTATAAATGTGTTGCTAAACCCCGTTATTTCACAAACAAAGTCGTAGTAGAATCAAAATTCTACAATACATATAATTAAATGTTTAAAAATCCTTTATTTGCAACAAAATCCTATGTTTGCTTGGATTGTAGTATTAGTAGCCGTAAAATGTTTCAAAATGCATTACTTGCAGATCTAAAGTTTAACGTAATCGCCCTTATTGTGAATTTCATTAGAAAGATTTTATGAATTTCAAACTAAGTTACGCACGTAGACTTTTGAGAATTATAAAAATACTTGTAGAGATTATGAATCTGCAATGGCGACACTATTTTTCGGAATGTCAAAATCGATATTTTGTTGCAGCTTTCTAGTGTCAATATTTAAATTCTTCGAATTTCATAGTAGACATTAAAAAAATAATAAACATTTCATAAAACAATAAGCAATAAAAAAAAATTAATTAAAATGAATTCGTTTTCCTTCAAAAAAATTTTGATGTGACATAAATAAATTAAATTGTTCTAAATACTTGCATTTTCTTCTTTTACATAAAAACATCTTAAGAAATAAAAACAAACTTAAAAAAAAATTTAAAACTGGCTTTTTACGTGTTAAAATTTCATTAGTACAATTTTGACATTTATTTTTATTACGAGTGTGGTTAATACTTATTGTATTACGAATTTCGGGATACAATTCTACTACTACGCGATATGAAATTAGTAACTTCTCCGTATTTTAGTGTTACGAGTGAGATATTAATTGACGAATTTCATATATCGGTAATGCTTTTGAGAGTATGTACATAATTTATAGTAAATCATTTTATGGCTTTAGTAAATCAACAAAATGAATTGTGAATAAATTTCAAACGTTTATGCTATTTCTAGTTCTTAAACAGTTAAAATAATTAAGCAATTAAGCAGTCAGAAAATTTAAAAATTATGTGCAAGGTTAGCAGGATAAATTAAAATAAATTAAAAAGTAAAGTAGAAAAATGGCTGGGAATGATTGAATGAATTGCACAATATTCAAATTAACTTATAATTGTTTATGAAATTGAAAGCTAAATAAATCGTAGATCAATGCTTAATTGTAATGTGCTTTTATCTGATAAAAAAGATAGAGAAAAACTTAGCTTAGATAAACTCACGAAAAAATAGTTTGAATTTTATTAAGCAGTTCAAATAACACTGCTTTAGCAATGAATTTGCAAAAGATTTTTCTCTATTATAACTCTTTGATAATATTGAAATCTTTACAGAAAACAAATCGAAAAGTACGATTGGTATAAAAAAGCGCGTTTAATATTTTTGAATTCCTTATACTAACCTTGTGCTAACCTTATTCTATTTACGTTGAATTAGTTCCTTAGATGTGAATTTAGCGTTCCCGTTTTGACATCTTTGTGCAAAAGTTTGCACTTTTTGAGAATTTGTGCACCTTTTTTTACACTTTTTTTTTTAAATTTTGCGTTTTTTTTCTAATTTTAAAAACAAAAATTTATACTATCACATTTACCTAACAAATATTACAAAACTGATTTTTGCAATTCCTACAAATAAGTTTTCAGAAGAATATATCACATAAGTGACTCGTAATATTTCGCTTTAATGCTGCATTGTTTACACGATTTATATTATGTGTATGACTTCTGAGTTTTTAACAAAAAAATCGGGTCTCGAATTTTGATTTAATTTTTGATTTAATTTAAATATGTACCAGAAGCTGGCTGGTTTACTTTCCAAAACTAATATTTGTTTCTTTTATATACATATATGAAAAGGCAATGCAAATTGTAAGTTATATTACGAGTTAGAATGTTGTTTAAAGTTTTCAGAGCAGTCACTTTTTGAAATAAATAAAGTAAATTTTCAAAAAAAAAAAGAAAATTTGACATTCTATACTGTAAACAACAAAACCCGTGACTTCAATAATGCTTTATAAAAGGCTTAAGTACGGTACTAATACGATTGTACTACTGTCTCAGAGCTTTTAATATCTTTACATTGTAAAAAAACTGCTAAAGCTTTTGATACATTTTGGAATACAATTTTTACAAATTTAATAAATACTTTGAAGTTTGTTTCAAAATTTCAATTTAAAATTCTCTTGTAAGCGTTAAATTTTAACAAACGTTATCACTTCATTGAAATATAACATTTCTATGCTGCATTTGGTTAAAAAATCTTAGCACCTTACTGCTGAAAATATATGCTAGTTTATTTAATTGGTTAACTTGCAACATTTATACACACATTTTATTTACATGTATAAGAAAAGCGTGCTCGATTTTTTATCGATACCCGATTTACTTTTACGTATCCACTACGTATAAAACGCATCTAGGAAAATTGTACAATATCAAGAGCTTTTAAGCTGGATTCAATGGTTCGTCGTTTTTGAGCTGACCTATTTGAAGTCGAACTATTTTTTTTCTTGATTGTTCAATGGTTCGTCTGAAAAAAGTTGATCGTTTTTTTTTATTGTGATGCATTTATTACTTTTTTGACAAGAATTATATGCAATTGCAATAGTTCAGTTAACGTAAATTTGACGTTTTAAAAAACCTCTGCACTAAAGTTGAAGTTGATTCAACTTTTTGAGAGAGAGAAAAAAAAACTGTACTAAAAATAAAGAGAATGTCAAAATACAAATTTTTATACAAAATACATCAGCTCGTCCAGTGAATTCAGCTTTACCAAACTTTTTAGAATGCGATACTTTGTAAAGTTTACGCTCTAAGCGCATTATTGAAGTCACGGAATTTTTAAAGAATATCCTATCACGTCTCGTGAATTTTTTGAAAATAAAAGTTTTTCTGAAAATAATTGCATTTTTTTTCGTACAAACAACTAAAATCAAAAATATATTAGTATTTTATTTAGCTCAGCTTAATTTCACAATGTTATTGCAAAAGTAAAATTTTGCCCTTTTTTTTTGGAAATTGCCTTTTTTTTGCACCTTTTGAAATTTCCCAGCGAGAGCACTGGATGTGATGAGAAATGTAAAACCGATTCCGCGAATTTTCATTTGTTTACTAAGCATGTCTACAATTTACATAAAAGTACATAAAATATGAAATAAAGTAATATGTTAGTTTGAAGCCTTTTATTAAACATTTTGCCTGAAGCTCCTATCAGTTTTCTACTAAATTCTGTAAAATACACATTTCGGAATGACCCCGTAAATAAAACACTTGACTTAAAAAAAGTACAAAATTATAATATTTTTCATATAACGTTGCAGTACTTTAAAAATTTGTAAATTATGTTGCAAACTAAACTACTTTTCAACAGAAGCTTACTTATTTATAAAACTACTATACTTAAATAATAAAGTTATACCAACATTTAAAATGATTTACTTATACTTGCTTATACTTAACTTAACTTAAATAAAAGTAGATTTCAATATATTTTATAAAACAAATTTCGATTGCAATATGCTCAGGACTTCTAGTCTGTTACAGTATTAAAAAGTTACAATTTTTTTGCATTTTATATTATGCAACAAAAATTTAATTTAAATTATTGTTCAATTTAAATGAAGTTGAATAAAATTGGGGTGAAAAAGGTGTCTGATCAAAATCGTAGCAACAAAAATCATAATTTGCAGCTTTAATTGCAACAAAATCCATTACTTGCGTATAATTGTAACAAAACCCCACATTTGCATTGTCAAATTTCGGTTTTTATTCTGTCTTGTTTATCATTTATATTTTTTTACAAAAAATCTTAAGCTCATCTTCTTTATGAATATAAATATATAATTTGAAATATAAATGTTGAATAACTCACAAAGTGTTTTTTTTATTTTACTCAAAACTAATTAATTTGCAAATATATGGGTTTTATTTATACAATCTTCAGTCCGTTAAAATTCTAAATCTAAGAAAGTTTGTTTGTTTACCGAAACGAGATTATTACACTTATTGTTACCACAGTTAATTCAAAAATTCGTATTTTCACCTTTTTCAAACCCTATTTTTTCCCATATAATTTCTCTTTAATATTTTTTTTTTGTTTATACATACATATACATCTAGCATTTTACTCAAATAAAATACGTATTTAATCATTTAACAAAACAAAAACATTGCATTTATTCAATTGCGTAACTTAATTAATGATAATAACTTACAACGGGTGCTTTCATTTCGGAATGTAGGTAAGACTATATCATTCAAAAAGCCGCAAAATGAATAATAAGACTTTTTGTTTTTGATCAAATGTCAAAAATGCATTTGACCGAAAATAAAATGTCCCATTACTTGTTTTAATGCTCGGATTGCAAAACAATTCTACCACAGAAAAAAATTTTTAAGTCAATTCTATGCTTAGGTATAAATTTTTTTTTTTTCGTAAGTATCGTTTGGATTCCACAAAAATATAAGGTTTGCGTTAGGAATAAATGTGGTAAAATTTATATTTTTTTTTAAATTTAAATTCAAATTTAGAATGAAATGCTTATTAATAATAGGTCTGTCTGGGTAATGTATTTATATCTAACAAGTCCCAATGCTCAGAGAGAAACCTAAAAGCACGACCTTATTTTATATGGGTTTTTTTAAATGGCTATTTAAAAAAACTATTGAAGTGGCTATTTTTTGAGAAGAAATTTTAAAATAAATTCACACTTATTATAAAGCAGGTAAATTTTCGAAAATATATTTAAAAAATCAATTATATATATTAATATTTTCGTTCATAATTATTTTAAAATTCTTAAAATACATATAAAAAAGCGGAAAAACAACGAGTACAACCTTCGCCTTCAACATTTTATATGTTATTGAAAGCATTTCATTATTTTTAAGTGAACAGCTTTTTTTTCTAATAGGGTAAGTTAACTCAAGAAATTGAAAGTAAATGTAGTGTCAAGTTGAAAATATAATTAATGAAAGATAATTATTAAATATTGATATACATATATGTACATAGCAAAGAAAAAATTTGAAGAGGGAAGTAGAAAATAATATCTAAAATACAATTAAATATTATTTTTCTAATACAAATTTTATATACACTTTTAAAATTTTTAAAACTTAATATATGTATTACCTAAGTAAAAAAATATTTAAAAGGTTTTGGAAAAGACAATAATATATTTTTATGACCGGATTCGAATATCTTTTTTATTTTTGAAATAAATAGGATCTTAGCAAATGACTCAAAAACTCCGATTGTAAAATGACAAGTAGTAGGTACTGATATCCGTAAATTTTTGTCCGTTTGCTTTTACTTTTAAAATTTATACACAGGCAGGACCATTTTATAAATAGATCGCTCTTGTTTACCCGCTAATAAAATATGAAAAAGAACACAACAAAATTTTTGAAGCACTCAATATAACATGTTTGAAATAGTTTTAAAATAATTATTTAAAAAAAAAATTGATTGGAGGTAGGTATTTATTTTTAATAACGTAAAAACTAACTGAAATTATTTGAAACAATTTTATAAGTAACGTATAAATAACCGAAACGAGATAACTCAAATTGTTGAAATATGTCAACCTATATTACTTTTATTAACATTTTTGTTAGCCGATACTACTGAACTTGCCTTATTGGGAAATACAAAATGTGCATCAGAAATCATACAACCTTCCTCATTAACAGTTGAAACCATACTGAAATATGAATATGCATTTTTTACACCCTGCACTTCGTGAAGGGTATATTAACTTTGATATGGAGTTTGTAACTATATATTCATGCTCAGCGTCATCCGTCCGTCCGATCCCACGATAACTCAAAAACGAATAATGATATCGAAACCAAACTTTCACAAGTTTTTTCTTTTGTGCCAAGGACGAACCCTATTGTAATTGGGCTAATTCGGACAACGGGTTCGGATAGCTGCCATACAACTCAAAGAGTTTATTTTAAATATTTCAAAAACTAACAAAGCTATCAATATAAAATTTTGTATACATGTGTTCAATTATATTCTACATATTCTCTAAAAATTTTAATGGAATAGCTGCACCGGTTCGGGTGGCTGCCATACTACTCCAAAAGCAAATTTTTTATATTCGGAAAAATAATAAGGGCAGATTAATGAAACTTGGCAGTCACATGTCCAATTATAGGTCAGATATATTTCTGAAGTTTTGGCTGAATTGCTTGACATGTTCGAATAGCTCCCATACAAGTCTAAAAGCTATTTTGAATATTTGGAAAAATAATAAAGTCACATTCATAAGACTTGGCAGTCGTGTGTCCAATTATAGGTTAGATATATTTCTGAAGTTTTCGTGAAATTGCTTGACAGGTTCGGGTACCTGCCATACAACTCCAGAAGCTAATTTTAAATATTTGGAAAAATAATAAAGTCAGATTCATGAGACTTGGCAGTCGTCTGTCCAATTATAGGTCAGACATATTTCTGAAGTTTTGGTGGAATTGCTTGACAGGTTCGAGTAGCTCCCATACAAGTCCAAAAGATTATTCTAAATATTTGAAAAAATAATAAAGTCAGATTCATGAAAATTGACAGTCGTGTGTCCAATTATAGCTCTGACATTTCTGAAGTTTCTATAGAATGGTTTCACAGGTTCGAGTAATTACTATACAACAACGAAAAGTGCAGGGTATAATTCAATCGGTTTATACCGACTGAAACGTTTTTACTTGTTTTTCATTTGTTCTGTCCTTCTACCTTTCTTTCTTTTACGTGCAATTGAATTTAAATACGAAGCTTTTTAAAAAATGTGTATAATATCCTGTAATGTCTTTACATCTTACAAGTCCCAATACTCATTTTTTTTTAGAAATGTTACGAATTTTTGGCTTCGCTCCTGTTTTTTTTTTAAATGCCATTGATCGTGTCATATTTTATACTTCATATTTCTTTGAGAAAAATTTTAATTCAACATAAGAATTATGAATAAAACCAATTACTTAAAATAAGAAAAAAAACAAAGAAAATTGAAATAAATATACTTATATATAAAACGAGAAAAAAAAATAGAGTTGACCTTGTCAACTCTGTAATACCCGTGCGAATTTGTTATCCTATGTGCAATTAAAGATTCCTTAACTAACTTTGGGACAGACTATGACTTTAAGTTGCCGTATTACCATATTAATTTATGCAAAATTTCAGTACTGTGTGTTTTTCAAAATACTGTGTGTGCCAAACTACTATTTAAATTGTATGGCAGCTACCAGAAAGAGCTAAGAAATTTTAACAAATTTTATCAAACACATTGGCCCTACTTATATATTCGCTTGTGCGAAATTTCAATACCATAGCTTTTATAGTTTCTGAGATATAGCCAAATAACTTTTGAAGTTGTATGGCAATCACGCGAACCGGTACCCCGATCTTGTCCAATTTAAATAGGGTTCTGGCACTTAGTACAATAAATCATTTGTGAAAATTTGGTGAACTTAGCTCAATTAGTTTTTGAGTTATCGTTGGGACGGACGGACGGACGGACAGACAAAGCTAAACCAACTCAGAATTTGACGCTGATCAAAAACATACACTTGAGTCTATATCTAAGACCGTTATTTCTTAGCGTTACAAACGGTAAGGCAAATTTAGTATACCCTTCGAACATACGTTCGTACGGGTATAAAAATATAAATCATAGAAAAATAATATGTTCGTGAAAAGTTTACAATGGAATTTCCCACGATTTTTAGCTTTTTTCCCTTCAAGGTTTTTATATAATAAAATTACTAATATTTCCTAAAATAATTCTTTTTTCAGGAAGTACTAATAGTTACAGTTTTTACAATCCTTCCATTCAAGTGGAATGTAAAACCGATATGATGTTAATAATGATTGAGAATAATCCAAAAGAGGGTCACACAAATAATTTGTTTAGTGGAATGGTATACCCAAAAGGTTTGCCAAAACATTCAACATGTTTATCAGAATATAGGTAAGTTTCTTTATTTTAATGAAAATTTTTGATTTATTTTCCTTTATTCATCAAATTAAGTTTCTTTTTTTTTTTTGTTTCCATCGTAAAGAAATCATGAAGGACCTTTGCGATATACACTACCTTTGAGAAGTTGCAACACAATGCCTCAAGAATCTGTAAGCTAAATTTCATGTTTTTTTTTGTTTTTTGTGAAAAATTGTGTAAGTAATTTGTTTTAACCTAATTTTTAATATACTAGTTTAATTCGGTTCTAGTTCTTAAAACGAAATTTAGCAATTTTTTTTATTGACTTTAAATGCTTAAAAACACCTTATAATAGGATCAAAGATTTTTTTGTAGAATTTTTCTAGACCATTTAAGTCAAATTTTCAAAAGACCTTTCTCAGAACCTTGAAGGATTTATTTTTAAAAAACTAGAAATAAATAGAATATCTAATGCCATCAGGCCTCCAAGCTGAAAATATTTTTCGAAATTTTGAATTGGAAAAAGAAACAAAAACAATTCTTAATGTTTCATGTTTTCGAAGTATGCCGATTGAAATACTTTTTTAATTTTTTTTGTGAAATTTTTGAGTATTCTTTATGAATCTCATTTTATTTAGTATAGTTTTAAAAGCCATCTAGATTAAAATTATTATTTTTTTGCTTTTTTCTTCAATTTATTTTTAAATTATATTTTTTATTCAAAAGTTTTACTATGTAATTCAGTACCCTTCTATTTGGAAGACAAAAAAGGTGGTCTGCGCTAAAAGTTGCATTTTTTTATACCCGTACGAACGTATGTTCGAAGGGTATACTAAATTTGCCTTACCGTTTGTAACGCTAAGAAATAACGGTGTTAGATATAGACTCAAGTGTATGTTTTTGATCAGCGTCAAATTCTGAGTTGATTTAGCTTTGTCTGTCCGTCCGTCCGTCCGTCCGTCCGTCCGTCCGTCCGAACGATAACTCCAAAACTAATTGATCTAAGTTCACCAAATTTTCACAAATGATTTATTGTAGTAAGTGCCAGAACCCTATTTAAATTGGACGTGATCGGGGTACCGGTTCGGGTAGCTGCCATACAACTTCAAAATTTATTTGGCTATATCTCAGAAACTATAAAAGTTGTGGTATTGAAATTTCACACAAATGAATATATTAATAGGGCCAATGTGTTTCATAAAAGTCGTTGAAATTACTTTGCTCCTTCTGGTACCTGCCATACAACTTCAAAAGTTATTTGACTATATTTCAGAAACTATTAAAGCTATGGTATTGAAATTTCACACAAACGAATATATTAGTAGGGCCAATATGCCCCATAAAAGTCGTTAAAATTACTTGGCTCCTTCTGGTACCTGCCATACAACTTCAAAAGCTATTTGGCTATATCTCAGAAACTACAAAAGCTGTGATATTGAGATTTCACACAAGTGAATATATTAGTAGGGCCGATGTGCCTGGTAAAAGTCGTTGAAATTACTTGGCTCCTTCTGGTACCTGCCATACAACTTCAAAAGTTATTTGACTATATTTCAGAAACTATTAAAGCTATGGTATTGAAATTTCACACAAACGAATATATTAGTAGGGCCAATGTGTCTCATAAAAGTCGTTGAAATTACTTGGCTCCTTCTGCTACCTGCCATACAACTTCAAAAGTTATTTGGCTATATCTCAGAAACTATAAAAGCTGTGATATTGAGATTTCACACAAGTGAATATATTAGTAGGGCCGATGTGCTTGATAAAATTCGCTAAAATTTCTTGGCTCTTTCTGGTAGCTGCCATACAACTTCAATAGTAGTTTGGCACAACCAGTATTTTGAAAAACACATAGTACTGAAATTTTGCATAAATTAATATGGTAATACGGCAACTTAAAGTCATAGTCTGCCCCATAGTTAGTTATGGCACATTAGTTATTCGCACATAGGATAACAAATTCGTACGGGTATCACAGAGTTGACAAAGTCAACTCTACTTTTTTTCTCGTTTTTAAATAAATTTTTCAGATGGAATTTGCGAACTGATTTTTTTGAAATTTAAATATTAAATTTCGAAAAATATGTAGAATCAGTAGAGCCAAAAATATTGATCAATTTCCTTCACACAAATAAATTCCGACACATCTTCCATTTAAACTCCATATAAATTTGGAATTTATTTTTGATTTGCTCTCTGAGCTTGATGGCCTGTAGATATATATGGCATTAAAATATCGAGCAAAAGTGATACTTTTCAAATTCTATAAAGTGCGAAGGAATAGTTTGATGTTTAATCTTTCAAAAAAATGTAATAATCATTATATTTTATGAGCTTAAAAAAAACAATTACTCGATGCTAAGAATATAGAAGTCACCTTGCTGCGTGACTAAATTCAATATTTTGTGAGAACATGCTTTGGTCTTTTTCATATTAAGAACTTGGCATATAAAAAGAATATTCAACAATATTTAGGAATTTTCAGCAATGTTTTGTTAAAAATGTTTAATACATTTTTGTCAAAGCCCTCAGAAGTGTTCAAGTTCTTAACGGTATGAAGAATTTAAGCTAATAAGGTTTCCTTCACCTTTTCAGCAACACCTGCCGTATTTGAATATAATGACATGGTTATTTGCGATTATTTCGACTTCGATTTTATAGAGAAATTGATATTTTTTGCCATGTTATAAGACTCGTGCTTCCGAATTTGAGATCATGTTACTTGCTCAGTTTGTTCTTCAATTTCAACATGAATGAACTAGTACAAACAAAACACGTTCACTTCAGAGTTCCAATAATATTATATTAATATATAACTAAGTAAATAAAATTCCTAACTATGAGTTAAAATTTTTGAACTTTGTATTTACGCACAGAAACATTTTATTCCTAAAACAATCAAATTAAAAGAAAGCCTCTCAGAATTTCTGTAAGTGTATATCTATATAGTTTATCGAGTTGAATCAAGGTTGAATAAAAATGATTTTAATCCATATCTGTTTCATCTCCGAAATTCCGCTTGTGTATATTTAATAAATTCTTTTCTGCTTTACTTTTTCGTTAATATTTTATCTCATCGTTTCAGGACTCAGGCGAAATTGAATTCTTTAATACGATTGTTGTTCAACCCCATTTAAAATTAGTAACAGACTTAGGGCGTGGGTTCCACGTTCGCTGCACTTACAAGAATCGAGAAGCAATTAATTTAAACAATATTCATCCTCATAATTTTTCAGCAGACAACATAACATCAGTTAAAAATCCAGAAGCGTACAAGAGCAAACTTACCTCCAACGCAGAAATTCAGATTTATTCTCAAAATGGAAGGCAAAATTTTGGTAGATCAATTGATTCGCACTCATTAAATTCGAAAGAAAAGGCTTTTGAAATAAAAGGCAGTGAATTACAGAAAAATGATATAAATAATTCTCTTATTGACACGCAAGAGGCAATCGATACTGACATTCCAATGCCAGGAATTCATATGAAGATTTATAGTCAAAATAAGATAGCTGAAAATGTAAATATTGGTGATCCTCTAAAACTGTTAGTATATGTAGAAAAACAAGAGTTCTATGGTCTTCATGTAACGAATTGTGTGGTTCGTGACGGTCTTGGATTGGGAGAACAAAAACTGATAAACGAATATGGGTAAGATATTTTTTCTAAATACCAGATAACCAGTTAAAGTATTATCCAACATAACATCTATAACTATGTAAGATGTGTGTGTGATGTTTATCTTAACCAATATGTAAGTAACGTAAGAAAATTAGCATTTCTTCCGAAACTTGGATCAATGATTAAATCAATGTCATGTACGACGTCCTCATTGATATAAGGTTTCAACTCTTACAAAATTACAGCGAATGAATGCTGCCCAATGCTGAATACACTGCTTTTGCCAATTGGTCGTTAGTGACCCATTTAATAATTCTTCGCAACGAAAAAAAAACACAATTTTTTTTAAAATTAGTTTTATAGGTATTACATATAAACAATTTTCACTAAAAAGTAGCACAAAACATAAAAAACTACAAAAGAATAATGGTAATTATCACGAATATGCAAACGACCTCTCAATTTTTTTTTAATTCAATAATTTATACTAAACACTTACTATTTACTCACTAAAATCAATGAACACACTATAAAACATTAACAGGAGGCTTAAAGATAAAGCCGTAATTTGTTTTGTTTTTTTTGTTGTGGGACGCTCGTTTTTAAATATTATTTTTGGATGCCGTATAGCCATATTGCTTTAATAATTCGGTTATAAATTAATACCTTACTATTAATAGCCAAAATTGGACTTACGACCAGCGTTCCTACTTGGATACAATTGTATCCATTTGGACACATTTTGACTTTAAAATTTAGCGTGGATACAAATTTGCTAAAATATCGAAATTGGCTACAATTTTTTACAATTCACAATTTTTTCAATTTATACAAATTTTGCTGAAATATGGATACAATTCTTTCTCGAACTTCCAAAAAAATGTTATTTGCTGACTTTTTCTTCAATTTATTTTTAAATTATATTTTTATTCAAAAATTTTAATATGTAATTCAGTACCCTTCCATTTGGAAGACAAGAAAGGTTGTCTGCGCTGAAAATTGCAATTTTTTTTTGAAATGCATTTTTCATTTTTTAAAGAGTACTCAGATTTGGAAAACATTTTCTTTTTAAAGAGTACTCAGATTTGGAACACATAGAGGCCGGGATTCTCCAGGGCAGTGTCCCTGGTCCCCTGCTATACTCGTTATACACAAATGATTTACCTCTGGGGAACCCAGTCACTATAGGCACATTTGCGGATTAGCTGGGCAAAGAAATGGCGTATGAAACTGAACGAGACAAATTCTACACATGTAAACTTCACAAATAATAACATTGCAACACTTCCGATCACTGTCCACTCTAAAACTATTCCAACATTCAAATACTGCAAAATACCTGGATATGACCCCAGACGCGAACCTAAGATTGAAAGAACATATAAAAATGAAAAAGGAGCAATTGAACATGAAAGCAAGAAGGTTAAATTGGTTCTTGAGCAGAAATTCCGTGCTGTCTATCCACAACAAGACCCTAATTTACAAACAAGTGCTAAAACCAATATGGACTCACGGCATCCAACTCTGGGGTTGTGCAAAAAAAAAACAAACATAGAAATCATACAAAGACCCAAAAACAAAATCCTTAGGCAAATTGTTGAAGCACAAAGGTATGTTCGCAACGAAGATCTACATAAGGACCTCAAAATTAGAATGTGTTGAAAATGAAATCAAAAAATTTGCCTGTAAACACAAAGAGAAATTAACCAATCATCAAAATGAGGAAGCGAAGAAGTTTTTACTTACTGGCAACGAAGTGCGTCCAAATGAACGAATCCAAATGAACTGGCTCATCAATAATTTATAAACCAATATTATTTTAATAGAGATAAAGATGTCCTAGTCAAAATCTATACTTTGGTCAGGTATGGTATTTACCAACCGATTTTTTTGAAATTTAAATTTTAATTTTCAAAAAATATGTAGTAGAGCCAAAAATATTGATCGATTTCCTTCACACAAATAAATTCCGACACACCTTCCATTCAAACTCCATATAAATTTGGAATTTATTTTTGATTTGCTCTCTGAGCTTGATGGCCTGTAGATATATATGGCATTAGTTTAACAATAAGTTTAAATTTAAAAATAATAATAATAAAGTTGGGTCAAACCAATGGTTTGTATTGTAGCACTTTTCCCTTTAACAGGTGAAAGTACTGCTTTTAAAAACAGTCTATGTATATCCACCACACTATTAAAATTATTTTCATTTATAAACGAAACTATTTCTAGGATTGCATATATTTAGGATGAACCATTTATGCAGTCTTTGAAATAAAGCAAAATTTAATATAAACAGGGGTTAACATAATCCTCGATTTTAAGGGTTAATTGTGTGAGTTAAGAAAAATAATTATATTTTTTAATGTCATAGAATTTACCGTTAACTTTTTGCGTTTATAGAAATTTGAAAAAACTTGCGGTTTCAGAAATATAAGGCGTCAAAAATGCAAATTTTACAAATTTCAAGAGGCCATAACTTGAGAGGGGGTGGAGATGGAAAAAAAATTTCTTCTAACGAAATGAACTACTTGTTAATGTCTAAAAGCCCCTAAAATTTCAGGCTTCTACAGGCTGGGGTCTAGAAGAAAAACGACATCAAAAATTTGGAAAAAAAGGACTTTAGATAACGGTAAATTTGAACGGCCATTTTGTTTTTCTAAAGTTTAACTATAGTATACCGCGATAGGGGAAGCAAGCCACTGCCTTTCTGCGTTTGCAAAATTTCAAAAATGCTTGTGGTTTCATTGCAACAAATAGTTAAAATAGGCCATTTTTAGTGCTTTGGGGGGGTATAACTTCTAGAGGGGGGGAGATAGGTAAAAATTTTGTTCTACGAAAATAAGTTTCTAGTAAAGATCTATGTACGTATTAAATTTCAGCTTTCTATCTTTAAGAATGTAGAAGTTTTGTAAACAGACACACGGACAGACGGACGGACGGACGGACGGACGGACGGACAGAGTGAAACTAATAAGCACTTTTTTTCAAAAAATTTTTGGAAAAGTGCTAATAAAAATAATAAAAATAATAATAATAACAATAATAATAAAAGTAACAATAATAGTAATAATAACAATAACAATAATAATACTAAATAATAATATTAATAATAACAATAACAATAATAATAATAACAATAATAATAAATAACAATAGAGCCTAATTTATATTATATTATACAAGCTAAATCCGATGGCGCAACCATCGTGTAATTTCAGTTATATGCTTCATCTTCGGAAGAATATCATAGAAAAAGAAAAGGGAAAAAAATTTATTCTAAATTTTTCCAACATTTAAGGTATGTTCATATATCATAATTATAACTTGTACAAAGATTTGTTGCAGAATAACGCATATGAATTAAAGTAATACTCAAAAAGAAGTTTGCTTAATGTAAACATAAGTAAATAAAAAAAACGATAAAAAACAACATTTTCAGTTTGTTAACAGATGAAGGATACGGAAAGGTTTTAATTCTCTCGGGTTTCAGGTACAGGGTTCTTACATACCATAGATGCACTCTTAGGCAATAACATATTTATATATTATTGTACTTATTGAAGCTTTTACCGACCGCGTTCCATACCAGAGGCATATGGTCTGCACATACAATAGGTATGTACAGATCTTTGTCTCAATTTCGCCTCAACCGATTTCCATGAAAATTCATATCTGGTTTAACTTCGGTTATGTCACATTTCTATTGATTTTTAGGACATTTCAGATCTCGGGAACTGGATTTTTACTATTAAAATTTGAAATAGATTTTTTTGAAATTTCATAAGTCAAAATCAGGTGTCAGAAATAGAACTTTTAATACGGGCCAAGTTTACATTTTTGCCCATATAAAAAGAAATAACGACTCAATTTCCCTGAAATTTAATATTTAAATTCAGGGTGTTAGCACCATGAACTAATAATTTTTTTGAAAGTGTCAGAGCTCGAAAACCGAACCAGGGGCCGAAATTTATTTGTTAACATATCTGAATTTTTAATTTCTTGAAATTAAAAATTTGAGTTCTGTTTGCTACGAAAACTAACTGAAGAACTTTTCAGGGAATTTAAAATCAGGGAAGCATAAAATGAGAAGTCTTAGGTAACATTTTAGCTAAACTAGACAATGTCTTCCGGTCGGTTATCTGTTGTTCATATCACTTTTTTTTTATGTTATTCAACATAATGCTTGCAAAGGATATTATGACATACATATTATGTTATTTAATATGATAAGTTTATATAGAACCTAATGTGTATATGACATGTGTATGTTTAGCTTCATTTCAATATGAATTTATTCTTGGAGAACATTACTCTATTCATACTAAACATATAATTTATGCAGATTGAACAGGTGCTAGAGGTAGAGAGACGAGCTTTGTATTTTTTTTTTTAAATTTAAGTTCATGTCATTTCAAATCATTACTCATTGATTTACTATAATGAGCACTGCGGGTATATGAATGTAATTTTTTATATTTTGCGAGTCAACGACTTAACTTATCTAAGTTTTAATTTTCCTTCCTTTATTAAATGAATTATTAATGTACATGCATTATACTTGTATTACCGGTGAGCAAATCTAAAATGCGAAAAATGGTGAACGTAAGAAAACCTATATGCGTTGAATCATTGCTGAACATACGAATAACAAAGTAACGCAGAGATAAATTTAATTTCTAAGGAAAAAAAACTTAAAATTGTATATATGTAGCTCTTTTACTATACATATACTTAGCTTCCCCAAATTGCGGGATTACACCTGTGATACAGGGACTTAAAGTAAGTCCCTCATAGGTGGGTAGGCACTCTACGAATCCTGTTAAATTTGCCTATGGGTCACACGATGGAACTCAACGTAAATATTTTTTATAGTAATGAAGCTCAATGTGTTAATTTTGTTTTAATGTTTTCAAAAATATTTGAAATTATTGCGATTCGCAATAGGGGCTTCTATAATTAGTATATTTTTATAAGCAAAAAGAACATTTGAATAAAATAAACTTCACAGAAGACGCTATTATTAA